GAGAGTGTGTGTGTGTGTGTGTGTGTGTGTGTGTGTGTGTGTGTGTGTGTGTGTGTGTGTGTGTGTGTGTGTGTGTGTGTGTGTGTGTGTGTGTGTGTGTGTGTGTGTGTGTGTGTGTGTGTAAGCAATATAGACAGAATGTGTGTTTTTAAAACAATCCCTCAAATCGATGAGTCTTACCTTTTAGAAGTGTTTCTTCCTTGCCCTTTTCTTTGCAAAGTCTGTGATAAGTTCATCAAAATCCTGACATTGTTCTTTAGTTCAACAACATCTTCAGGCTCCGTGACCGTCACTGTTCCTTGGGGCTCGCAATCTCTCACAATCAGAGACTGGATATATGATTGTGTTACGTTATGATGAGAGTGCTCTCATACTTGTTTGATTCTGAAATTGTATATATTTATATAAATATATATGTGTCTTGTCTCATTATACCGCACTGTCAATGAATTCAAAGTAAATATAGAGGTCGTCATGAACACTCGTCAAGGAGCTGCTGTGCCTCCCGTCACCATTAACGAACGTCTCTTTAAAATGACCGCTCAGAGGAGAGGAGTTCTAATTTCTCTAAACGCCTGCTGCTTCCCCTCCTCTCTCCTCGGTTCCCCTCCTCGAGTCCTCCGCTCGCATCTAATGTGGGCGGGACTAAGACACGAGGATAGGAGTCGAGGAGGGGAAATTAAAGAATTGAGAAGCCTTCCCTGTGAATGTGACACTAGTCCAAAACACAGCATTAAAAAGTGAAACTTTAATTCTGTTACAGATCTAACAGTTATTTAAATGTATCCATCTCCATGATTGATTTAACAAAGACCCTCACCATAACAAATCCACAAAGGTGTTTCTTCCTGATGTTGTCGGGGCAGGCAGAAGGTGTCTCAGCAGGAAGTTGTCTCCAGCAGTTCACCTGTCTCTTGAGCAGGATGGATGGGCCTTGATCAGATACCTCGGCAGATGGGGATTCCCCGCTTGCATTTGGGAGGATATGGACCAGATAAGTCAGCTTTATTAATTTCCATTTTGTCTGTGAGGGGTTTAAATATGTGGAAAAACACATTCAACCATATTCCCTTGTTGTATTTAGAACAAACTAGCCAACATTGTTAGAAACACAGATAACAGTTGACAAAGGTCTTACTTGTAGTGGTGGTTAGAGATGTATTTCCCATTTTAACAGTGTTATGTTTTTCATCAGAAATAAAGTACTGGTCCCAAATGTTTCTCCAGCTAAACGAAAACAAATCTGGAATCATTCTTCTTGGTCAACCAAATTTGTTCCCAATTTTACAAAAACTTATTTTTCTCCCCTTGTGCAAATGTCACACCTGCAGCCAGAAACCTTGGCGGTTTATTTATAGTGAACTTCCACTTGAAAAACAAGTTACATAATTCGCTCAATCAGGTTTTTATCAACTGAGGACCATCGCTAACATCTGTTCTTTCTCTCTCGACCTGTTCTCAAGAAGGTCATATTGAACATGCGTATATCCTACTCTTGGTTTGATTTTTGTAATAATTATGTAATAGGAAATCCTGCAAAGTGCCCTATTGGAGGATGGAATATGATTTCCTCTGTGCCATATAGATTGCAATATGTTCTATAAAATGTTCTACAATGTGTTCTATTCGACCTCGATCAGAGTATTGAGTATCTTCATGATGCTAACTGTTCCTAGTACCCTTTAGTTGATAAATTCAAGATACGCTTTTCACAATTAAGACACATTTATGTAAGTCCTCACTCCTCCGATGGTTGACAGGAACAAAATGAGATTAGTTTAAGTATGTGAATGTTTCGTGTGTTTCCAACACTGGCTAACATCATCATTTTGGCTGCTTGTGTTATCCTTTTGCAATATCTTAGTCTGCAGGTTGTTGACTCTGCAGGTGATAAAGGGGGTACTTAAATGTGCTGTAATGGGTAACAAGTATAAACTATAAAACGTTCTCCTTATTACAAATGTGATTTTGAAGTGTAAAACCCATTTAAGCATACACAATAGGGTATCTACGCCTTAATTTACACTTCATATTTGTATTTTCAATTTGGTATGTAAATATGAAGATAGGTAATTAATAATGATTGAATGGATTCATACTGTTGTTTATCTCCACAGTTTTAGGGTTTTAAATAAGAACTCAACACCATTTTTCCTTCTGTTTTCTCTCCTACAGACCAGCAGGGGTCCAGCGACTGCCCCTCTGAGCCGGATCGTGGCCTCCGATCCTCAGGGGGGGCTCTGCTGGCTCTTCCTGAGTCTCCAGCTTAAATCTAAAGATGAGCCGGATTCTGCATCTAGAGCCCCTTTGCTTTAACACTCCCTGCAGAAAATCTGAGGATTTCAGAATCAGTGACATCTTTTAATCACTTTTTTTTATCATTAAGTGAATTCTAGCACAGTGCTTCCAACATACTTAACATGTGTGTTTTATGCTGACAGAACACATTTCAAAGTACAAAATTATCATACTCTATCAGTTATCTTAAGCTAAAGGGTTAAACATTATTGTGATTTAACATTTTGCTGCTTAGTTTCTGTTTCCCTTTCTACAGATGCAGCTTCGTTTTTTATCGCAGAAGTCCAATGTGAAATGTAGTCAGGCTCAGTTAATGTCACATACAAAATATCATGTGCCTTTCACGGTTCAGAGTGGCCATAACACATCTTAAAAATGTGGTGCTGTACACTGTGCAAATTGCATTGGAAAAAACACCACGTCAAAAATATGATATTGAATCAGTTTAATAACTAGCACAGATCATCAGCAAAGTTCAGTCAAAAGTGTCGTTTAACGCTGGTGATTATAATTTGATTTGCTCTCGACCCACTTTCTGAATTTTTAATGTCGCCTCCATATTTGCTGCAGACCCCCTCATGATCAATATTTGTTGGATTAGCAGCCTCAGCTCAGCTCTCCGTTTTAAACACGTACATCTCAGGCCTACATATATTATTCTTAAATATTAACATCAATCGGAATCTCTTTACTTTGAACATTTTGAATTTAATTTAATGAACGGATCAGCAGATCACTTCATTTTTCATATTTTACATTATCTCAATTAAATATGTTTTCATTTATTAGTCATTGATTTGGCTATAGCATTAGCCTTGAACTTTGAAAGTAAAAAAGCTGCATTAAGTCACTGGTAAAACATGTATATATATATATATGTATAAAATAAATATTTTCTTTAAAAGCATGATCCAGCAAAAGTGACTTCTCACTTCAGTCCAGACTGATAGTCCAGTGCCTGTTTGAACCTGTTATCCAGCATGCTGTGAGTCGGTGTAAGAGCTAACACAGTCCTTTCTCTCTGCAGATGTTTCAACATTTTAAAACCAAGGAAAAGCACAGGTACGACTTATGACACCCAATATATTTCCGTAGTATTTAGGAGAGATTTAAAATGAGTCGGCATGCATAATATCAGGACCCTGAAATTGAACCACCTGAATAAAATAAAGAAGTTAGTGATACATATTTGTTCCTAATTGGTTGTGCTTTGCTAACTGTGATAAATCAACATATTCTCTGTATCTCTATTGTAATGAGCGACGGAAATGTATTTTCTTTTTTTCCTGTATGTATTTCTTTCTGTTTTATCTGTGAAAGCACTTCCAACTTAGTACAACTTAGTTTGAAAGGTTCTAAATAACAAAAGTTTATTTTATTTGTATTATCTTTTCCCAGCATTCTGTTTGCTGAAGTAACGGCAAATATTGTGTTGAACTTCCTTGGGTCATCAGTAATACACCTGTGTGAAGTCGATCTTGATGAACAGTTTTCGAGATGTGCAGAGACTGCTTCTATTTTAGTAATATGTGTTCTCACAGAGAGGCAGGAACATGTCACAGTGACTTTGTTTTATTCAAATACAGAGTGGGTTGTAAAGTCTTGCTGTTTGTCACTGACTGCGTCCCCTTCTAGCCTCCCACCTTCTATCCATGTTTGTATGTTTTATCTCAGCAGGACTTTACCCTTGCATAAAGCTGCAGCTGGTTCAATGGTGTCCTTTGACATTGGACCATGAGCCATCTGTGTCAGATATG